GAGGGCTCTACTCTCAACGAATGCAGGGGGGGAGGAGGTTGCTTGTGCCTCCTAGACAGCTATAGCAGCTTTCTGTTTGCAGGTCCTGGCCGGTGGTTTTGGAGAGCTTTGAAACGAATCATACTGCTTGATGTTAGTTTCTGGCACACCAGGTAGGGAAAGCCCACTCTGCTGACCTGTTTGGCTAAGGGATTTGGGAGTTCTGCTGGATATGTGTTTTTCCCTAGGATTTTCAGAGCCTGATTTAGCCCCGTGCTTCAGTACATGCTTATTTTTTACCCTAATCCTGTCATTGCCTGAACTCATCATGCTTTAATTCCACCAATGTCCACAGACTTGGGTGAGCACTTGGAATTTAGGCAGATACCGGAATGCTTTGCTCACTGTCAGCTGTGAAGTTTGGAGGACCTCATCTAGGGGGAGCGGGACACAAGGTACTTTACATCCCCTCTATCCATGGGATGGCAAGAGACTCATTGCTCTGTCCTTCTCCTCTGCAGTGCTGTGAGGATGGTAGCGGATGGAGTGGTCCAGATGGCCTGCTTGGTGGCCTCTTGCAGTCCTGCTGCAGGGTGGCACTTTGAGCCAGTGGCAGCCCATATCCTGGTGATGAAGAGGCTTCAGTGTATGCTTGGTGCTGCAAGAGGAGTAATACCTGCAGTTGAATCTTCCCTTTGCTGGCAACAATGCTGAAGCTGATTGTGCTTTCAGAGCCATATGTCAGCCCAGCTGTCAGTGCCCTTGTCAGCCTTCAGTAAGTTGTATGGTGTGGCTGTTGTGTTGGCAGGTAGATTGTCATCTAATCCTAGCATCTTCCCTGGGACAGACAGACAGGCTGACCCTGCTGAAGCAAAATGCAAACCTACCCCTTCCCCTCCAGGGCTAATTTAATCAGCTGCTTTTCTTGTGCTGAGGAGGAGTGTGAAGAAATGGATTTTCCCTGCCCATGGCAGGGGGTTGGACCTGACTGATCTTTAAGGTCCCTCCCAGTCCAAACCAGTCTGTGATTGATTCTATGATTTTCAGGTTTAGTTAGCAAGGTTCTGGCTTCCTGCCACTTTTTCTTGGCATTCATTTTTCTTGCCCTGCGTGTGAGGGAGTAGAGCTGAGAATTCCCTGCCTCCCCTTGCTTTGGGTTCTCAATATTCCATATTCCATAGAACATAGAGTATTTTACATCAGAGAATAGTCAAGCTTCTCAATATTCTATTTCCCTGTTTTTTTTAATAGGGAAAAATAATCCAGAAAACAACTAGAAACTTGCTTTACATTCCTTCCTCCCTTTCCCCTCTCTCTTCCACCCACTTTTTCCTCCTCCCTTCCCTCCCCCCCCCCCCCCCCGGTCCTGCTCCCATTCCCTCTCTCCTTCCCGCGGGGGCCTAATGCCCTGTACCCCGCATCCCGCTCTCTCCGCTGTTACCGGAGCCCCCCAGCGAGCCACCCACCCCTTCTCCCTCCCGGTGTGCCGCGGGGCCCCCGATCCTCCCCTCGGGGCTGGCTCGGGCGGGGCCGCTGCCAGTGCCGCCCCCGGGAGGCGGTTCCGTGCCGCTGCTATAAGGGGCCGCGGCCGCGGCGGGCGGCAGTAGCTCCGGCAGTGGCTGTGTCTGGGCTGAGTAGGGTAAGAGCGCGGCCGTGAGCGCCCGGGTGCCCCCATTTCCGCATCCCCCCCCATTCCCGCATCCCCCCCCCCATTCCCGCATCCCCCCCCCCATTCCCGCATCCCCCCCCCCATTCCCGCATCCCCCCCCCCCATTCCCGCATCCCCCCCATTCCCGCGCTGCGCAGGGAGCGGGATCCGAACCTTCGCTCCCTCGGCCCCGGCTTTCGGTGGCCCCGCGGAGCCCTCTCTCGGGATCATGGTTTGGGGTCGGGGCGGGGAGCTCGCTGTTCCCGCACGCACTCGGTGTCCCCGGGGCGGGTTAGCGGGTGCCGCACCTCGCCAGCGGTGTGCGGGGGGGATGGAGACCGCGGGGTCGCTGCCGCGCACCGGCACCCGGTGCGGCTCGCTCTGTGCGCCTTTCCCGGTGCGATCCGGAGCTGTGTGGGACACTTGTTTACCTCGATCTGGGTTTCTTTTCTTCAACTCGGAACTGCGGAAGGGAGCGTGAATGTGCCGGGCTCAGCCTTGCAAAGCCGCGTGAAAGCATGAGTGTTCTGCAGCAGCCAGATGTCCTGGCAGGACACGCTGCTCACTTTCCTGTGTTGGAGATCCAGGCTGGTCCTTTGGCACGGGAAGGGTGAAGGTGTGTAGGTGACACCCTGGGCAGCCGTCCTGGCTTTTCCTGGCATAGCTCAGTTTGCTTCTCTTCAGAAGGGCAAAGCCCAGTTTGCCTGAGGCAGGACCGGGCTGCAGGATGCTCTGGGGTGCTGAGAAGTTCCCAAAAGTGTCAAGAGCTTGAATGCTGCCTCGCGGTGTGAGGCTGCCCTCCCAGGCAGGGATGCTCGTGCCTGTTTACTCCTTCACAGCCCAGGGATGGGGAAGTTGCAGTCCTGCAGGCTGCATCGGCTCCAGGGACATCTCTGGGTGTCTGGAGCAGGATTTTGGGTACGTTGCCTTCCCTTCATGCCGTAACTCCAGTGAACTAAGGGACTGGCCACAGCACATGTACCTGCCAGGTGAAGGGGTGATGGCCTGGCAAGGGCTTTGCAGTGCAGTGGCCACAGAAAGCAGTTCCAGCTGCCTTCCCAAGTGTTGAGGATGCTGTGCTGTCTGCAGAGTGCGCTGAAGGTATTCTTTTAGGAGCACGGGGAGGCTGTGTTGAGTTTGTCTGGTGGTTCCCTGCTCGCTCCCAGCTAATTTGAGTGGGAATCGGAGTTCATGTTACAGCAGCTAATCCCAGACTATGGGGAGCCTGTCCTCGGAGCACTGTAATCTGGGAATAGCGCTGTCCTGGCCAGCAGGGCTTTGAGCCTGGGAGGCCGTATCGGGTTCAGGTTTTATTGCCGCGCTGGGGATGCGGAAGCGCACAGGCATGCAGCCGGCTAGGGCAGAGGGGATGCACGTGCGTGCAGCAGACCTGTACTTGGAGCAGAGGCAGGCAGAGATTTGGGCTGGTCATTGTGTTCTGCTCCATGAGATGCCCAGAGTGAGCGCCTGGGATGTGATGCCCTCTGCTAGCTGCTGTCCTAGGCTGGTGTTGGTGTGAGCCCCAGCTTCAGGGGCTTCCTGCTGCCTCCCTGATCGCCCTTGGTGCCTCTCTGTTAGCACCCCACAGCCAGGTCTGAGTTTCTTCTCCATTAGGGGATGTGCTGGAGGCTTTGTCGTGAGTGGTCACAGCTGTCCTGGAGGGTGGCTTAAGCTGGGGTCTTGAAATGTGAAAAGAGCCTACTCCTCTTGCTGGACCACAGAAGATGCCCAGCCCCACCTGTGCTACTTCAGTGAGGTTTTGTGGGGATAGCCTGATGTTCCTGCTGCTCTGTTCACTTCGCTGTCCACAGATGCCAGCAGGAGACGGTGGCTCATGCTGTGGGCTGGGATTGTTGTGGCTTTTAAGGAGTTTTGTCTGGTTGCTGTGGGGTTTTGAGATACGGCAGCTCTGGGATCCTGCTGATTCTCCCCACACTTGAGAGGCCTTCAGAAGCGTTTGCACTTGGGACACAGTGGTAGTGATGAGACCCTGGATGAGGTCTGGCAGAAGACCCATCTCTCTCCCCTCTGCAGCTCTTCTGCCCTGCATAGAAATGGGTTAAATCACTCTCTGCTTTCCTGAAGATGGGGATCGTCTATCCCAGGACAGAAAGCTGCCACTGTCTGAGCTCCCTCTTTAGCCAGCGTTTCAGCAAAACCCATGCTTAATTTGATTTGAATCTCAACGCCATCTTTCAGCAGGCCAGCTGGATGAAAGCCTGAAAGGCTGAATAGGTTTGAAGTGATAGGCTAGATCTCCTCAGAGGGCCAGTTTGGGCCCTGTTTGTGAAGAGATTTGATCTCTCCTGGATGCATGCAGGGCTTCCCTCATTGTTAGTGCCACCAGCTTCCTCTCCACTGGAACAATAGTGCCTTGAGTCCTTCCTGGTAATCTCCCCCTTTATCTCCCTTCTCTTCCGTAGTCTGTATCTCTGGCAGGTGGGGAGAGAGGGAGGTTTGGGAAGAGCCAATTATGCAGATGGAGAAGGGAGAGGTGCTGTGCCAACCCATGTCCCTTCTTTTGGGAGCAGGGGCTAAAAGACGGTGCTCAGAGCTCTTTCCTCTGGGGTCTGTAAGCCCTACCGAGCTGTCTTATGGTGGGGTTGAGGATGTTCAGAGGTACAGGTGGCTGTAGGGGTTTACCACCCTGTTGCTCTCTCTGGCCGTGAGCTCATGCTGGCCTTGCCCCTAGGGCTTGGCCAACATCAGGAGGTACCTCTCCCTGTCGGGGCTGTTGGCATGGGTAAGAACAAGGTAGTCACGGCTGAGGATGCTAGAAGTGTGCATGGTGGAGACTCTGGGTGGGCTGGCTGACATACTGCTCTGGCTCCAGTGAAGCCATGGGGAATGAGATGGGGTCCATCCCTTGGAAACACCCCTCTCCATCTTTATTTTGGTGTGCTGGAGCCTATGGGTGCAGAGCTGAAGTGTGGGGGTCACAGGCCAAGGCTGCTGCTGTGGGTGGTACTGTTGTGGGGTGGGAGGGTGCCAGTGAGGGAGCAGCGTTTATCCTCAGCCCCTAAAGCACAGTGGTAATTAGCAGCCTGGCCTCAGGTTTTGCATGAGCCACGTGGGTCTGCTGGGGCCTTTCTGCTGCTGGCAAGGAAAGTAATGAGAACCCTTACTGTGTCCGCTGCCTGCCGATAGAAGAAGGCAGTCCAGAGGCAGAAAAAGTCAATGTAGGAAAGCAAAAGGGTGGGGAGGAAACAGTTGTTGTGGAGCCAGCTGTGATGGAGGAGTCCTCTGTAAATCAAAGCGCTCTCCTAAAGAGAAAACTTAAGCCCAGTGGTCAAGTTCTGACTTCTTTCTTTCTTTCTCTCAAGCTACGTGATACCATTAGCGGCAGGGAATGCTGTGTAATAGGGAATCCAATTGAAGGGGGAAGGATGGAGCAGGGTTTAAATTTAAAACTGGGCAAGGGTACAAAGCCCCTCATTTCCCCATTTCTGCTTAGTGCAGCTGGAGCTGGGCTTGACAAGATGCTGACCAGAGCTTGTGGTAAATGTTTTACAGTACCGTGTATCAGCCAGATCAATTCTACTATGCTTGAGGGAGTGCAGATAAAGTGGCTTAAAGATTCCCCTGCTGAAAGCGATAGGATCATCATTTATGCTAGAGAAGACAGATTTAGTCGCCTGACATTTATTTGGCCATGGTGTGCTCTGCAGATTTCCCACCCGGGGATGATAGCTAACCTGATGATGTCAGATGTGAGCTGCATGCAAGGAAAAAAACACACAAAAAGCCAGTGCTATTCCTCTTGTCGGCCAGAGGAGTTTTGCTGTGTCTGGATTGGGTGTTTTATTCCATATATCCCTTTCATGGAAAGGGCTTTATAAGCGTAGTACTAAAATGCTGTGTCCTGCTTTGCGTTGTGAAGATGGCAGCAGAAATACCTTTGTTAATTTAGGTCATTTCATAGTATCCCAGACTGGGTTGGGTTCGAAAGGACCTTAAGCTCATGTAATTCCAGCCCCCTGCCACAGGCAGGGATGGGGCAGCCATAGCTTCTCGGCGCAGCCATAGCTTCTCTGGGCATCCTGTGCCAGCACCTCAGCACCCTCACAGGGAAGAGCTTGTGCCTAAGAGCTCATCTCAGTCTCCCCTCTTTTTATCCTATTTTGCCTGTAGGTCCCTTGGACTCCGAATTGAGCAAACATGAGCGCACTTGACTTGACTTCCATCCTTGATTTTCTGGAAACAGCCAACTTGACAGAGATCAACTGGACGTGCAACAATGGCGACTGCATCACAGTCGATGCGACAACATGCCCCGGCACGCTCAACAAGAGCGCCCTGCTATACACCCTGTCCTTCTTCTATATTTTCATCTTCGTCACAGGGCTGGTGGCCAACTCGGTTGTGGTGTGGGTCAACCTCCAAGCCAAAATGACTGGCTATGAAACCCACCTCTACATCTTCAACTTAGCTATTGCTGATCTGTGTGTTGTCATCACCCTTCCAGTGTGGGTTGTCTCCCTCATCCAGCATAACCAGTGGAACATGGGAGAAATCATGTGCAAGATAACTCACCTTATATTTTCCATCAACTTGTTTGGCAGCATCTTCTTCCTGGCGTGCATGAGTGTGGACCGCTACCTCTCGGTTGCCTATTTCACCAATTCCAGCAGTCGCAAGAAGAAGATAATCCGTCGCTGTATCTGCATCTTAGTGTGGCTCCTTGCCTTTTCTGTGTCTCTGCCAGACACCTATTATCTCAAGACAGTCTATTCCAACAATGAAACCTATTGTCGTCCCGTCTATCCAGAGGAGAGCTTCAAAGAGTGGTTGATTGGCATGGAGCTCATTTCGGTCGTGCTGGGCTTTCTCATACCTTTTCCCATTATCGCTCTCTTCTATTTCCTCCTTGCGAAGACCATCTCCGCCTCCAGTGACCAAGAGAGGAAGAGCAATGGGAAGATCATTTTCTCTTACGTTGTCGTGTTCCTCGTCTGCTGGCTGCCCTACCATATAGCTGTCCTGCTTGACATCTTTTACAGCCTTCATTTCATACCTTTCAGTTGTCAGATGGAGAACTTCTTATATGCCACTCTTCACATCACTCAGTGTTTCTCTCTAGTGCATTGCTGCGTCAACCCCATCCTCTACAGCTTCATTAACCGCAACTACAGATACGAGCTCATGAAAGCCTTTATTTTCAAGTACTCTGCCAAAACTGGTCTCACTAAACTTATTGATGCTTCCAGGGTGTCAGAAGCAGAATACTCTGCTCTTGAGCAAAATGCCAAATGACTGCAACCCCCTAAAGACACCTCTTTGACTCTCTGACCTTTGTTCTTTGCGTGATGGTTTTGTGTGTGTTGTTTGTTTGTGTGGGGTTTTTACCCAGCTTTCCTTGTACATGTTATGAACGGGGCATGAATTCCAGCCTACAGAAGAGAAATAGCAAACTGTAATTTAAGAGTAGAATCAAGTGCAAGAATTGAAGTGGTACCAAAATTAAGCCTTTTCTCCTAGCCTGGTCTGGACTTCTCAACAATGCTATGCAAATGGGGGTGACTTTCTAGCAGACAAAGCCATTGTGTACCATAGATAACATGATTTTTTCAGCATAAGCTTTTCCTTCCACATGTAGATTCCCTCTTGTCTCCTTGTATATGTTATATATATATAGTGTGTTGTATTTAAAAGCTCAAGACTTTATTTTCTGGCTCTTGGTGTACCTTATACAATTGTATTTGAAAGTTAAATATATTTTTATCATGTATTTGAGGTGTATTGCTGATGAGTGTATCCAGAGTGCTGTAATCTGAGCGTTAGATTGCCATTTGGTTTCAGCTGTTGTAGGGAAGAGGATGCCGATGAATAGCAGCATGGAAATGATGCTCTTAGGCGCATCCTCCTTGGCTGACACACTTTGCTGACCATAGCTTTGTGGGGTGGTGATACCCACATTTCTGGAGCATGAAATGTATGTAGTGTAATATAGTTGCCATCATGTTAAAATTAACAGTATTGTAAGAGTTGTTAACTCCTACGCCCGTCCTTCACCAAGCTCTATTCTTATGCACAGAATGAATGAGCTGACTTCTGAGAGTTGTCTCTATTTGTAAGTTATTTTTGTAAAATAAAGATCTGGAAAAAAACCAACCCAGTCTGTGCCCACAAGTGGTTTGATTTGCTGTCCTTTCTGTCAAAATCCCCAGGCCACCTCCTCTCCTTTGTCTGGTGCAGGAGCAAACAGGTCAGGCTATGCTCTCCTCGTGTTTGTTGACAGTGGGCAGGAGCCCTTGAAGGAGGAATGTGAGGCAGCACTGGTGCGTGCGGAGAGGGGAAGGGGTGGGAGGAGCAGCTGCGCTGTTGCGGAAGGTGATGGATTTATAAGGTGAAAGCTGTTGGGAGTGATGAAAGGCTGTGCTTGTAGCTTAGAGATAAACACGTGGAAGGAAAATATGCAAGTATGCAGATGGAGTGGATGTTTGGACTAATCCAGGTTCTGTGGGTTTTGCTTGTGATGGAATTTGGGGTTAGCAGTCCTGACACCATTAAATCCCTTTTTATCTCTTCCTCTCTTTGTTATAATTTGCATTGAATTTGCAGCACCATACTGTCAAAGTGTGGGGCCAAATTCAGCTGCTGCCGGAGGCACAAAGGAGATCTTTAAGCCACCAAACACTTGAATCGTGGTCATCCTCATCTCAGGACAAGGTAACTGATGTTAAAGCATTGGTGTCTCACAGCCACCACTGACTTGCTGTTGCTGGTGTGTGTTTTGCAACTCTAACACCGTGCTAACTGCATTGCTGTGAAGGCTGTGCTTAAATTCCTGTTAAATCAAAGCACAGCCGCATCCCCCCGAGATCCGAAGAGCTAAACAGTTTTGTAATGACTGTATTTTGTTTCTTTCTCCATGCAGCATTTCTCACCTCGGAGGTGATGCTATAGAGACATTTGGCAACACTGCAAAGTCTACCGTCCTGTCCTTGCGCTTCTAAAATATCACTGGTCCACACCCAAACAGAGGAGCCAGTTGCAAAGAAGGCTGCCAGCGTAACTGTCACCACATAGCTACATAGCTATAGCCTTTTGTGCCACTGCTTCGAGGAGAAGGGGATTTTGAGCTTCCCGTAAGCCTTTCTTAAGGTACTGCTCAACTGCAAGGAAAGAAAAGTGCTCCCTCGTGCTGATAGTTAACACTGGAGATGGTGTGTTAATCCTGAGAAATCAATGTTCCTGATTTAGCTGGGCATTGCTTTACATGCCCAAGCACCCTTATGTGTATCCTCACTGAAGGTGCTGGGTACAGCTCTTTATCCCACTCCTGTGTGCCTGCAGGGTGTTGCTCAGTTTATAGCAGTGTAACTGTATCATTTCAGGTTGTGTCTCAGGCAGAGAGCTGTATTCATGGGATGCTGTACCTGGTTTGGAGGTTGGAGTAAGCAGAACCAGCACTGGGGCTTGGGAGGGGTTGCACGAGGCCTTCCCTGGGATTCAGCACTACTTGTGTGGAGGTGAGTGGCCCCGAGGTGACTCTATGAGAAGTGTGTAAATGGGCAGAGACCAGAGAAGTGGATTTGGATGCCTTGGGGTCTGAGCTGAGGGAATTTATCAGCAGATAACAGGAGAGTGAAAACACATCTTCAGGTGGGTGTGACTGTGACTTGCAGTGACTGATGTGATGAGGTGGCTGCTGCCACCTTGCCTGGCCACATGTCCCAACCCTGGAGATGAAGAGTCTCTGCTTCTTGCTGCTGCAGGGCTGTGGCTTTGGGGCAGGACTGATGGGTCCTGTGGCTGTCTGTACCCAGAGATCTCCATTGTTCCTCTGACAACTGCAGGTGCATGTGGAGGGGGGACAGGTCTTGCCTTCACAGTGGGGTTAAATTTACTATGTTAAGATCAGTAAAAATCAAACATAATGCATGCTGGAGCAAGTCCTTGTGCTTAACCTTTGTGTATTATGGCTGAAAGCATCCCAGGGCTGTCAGACTCTACATAGCTCAGGGGCAGGCACTGAGCAAATACAAATACATCTGCTCGGGGAGAAAGGATTTGATTTTATTTCTTATATATAGAAAGCATAGTCCTGCTTTACTGTTACTTAAAGACAGAGTTCCTTTTATGAGCCATAAACGACATTGAGGTGTAGCACAGTGACTTTAAATCAGTTCCTCTGGCAACCATCTACATAATGTATTGTAGGGAACGCCTAACTGGCCTGCTTCTTAATCCATCGTTTCAGTGCTGCTGACTTTAGATACTACCCTTTCATGAGTTCACTGAGCAGAAAAGTCATTTCAAGTTCCAAAGAAGCAAGAAATAACTCAGCTGTGAGCAATATTTAAGCACGTGGCCATGGCTGCGCTGTCAAAGCCAGCTCTTAAACTGCTTCAGAGAGTTTCTTCATCAGAAGAGTTCAGCTGGTACTTCGACAAGTGGGGCTCAGCCCCCATGATGAGGTATGGGGCTGAGCAGTGCACGATGAAGTGCGATGGGGTTTGGGGGGAACTGGTGTGTACCGAGTCCAGGTTATTGCTTTTAGCCTCCCTGCTCCATAACGGAGTGTAGTGAAGAGCATCTGAGCCAGAATCTGCCCTGATTTGCAGTAGGATAATGCTGCGGATTTAAAGGGAGCTATCTGGGATTTACAGGGCTTTCTATAAGTAGGATCAGGAATTGTAGCCATAATCCTGTGCAAATGTATGGGTGTGAGTGCAGACGTGCGCATCAGCATCACTAATGCAAACAAACACAGCCATAACAGCAACAGAACACATAATAACAGTGAGTTGCATTACAGGGTTATCATATGGTTCAAGCCAGGCTCATAAATATCCTGTGATGGATAATCCAGCTGTAACCCTATAGCGTGTGCCTGACTCTTCTGACACCTACTGTCATGAGACAAATCTGTCTCCTTCCATTTTGGTAGTTGCTGCTTGAAAACAATCCACATCTTTTTCATGTAATTCTTGATCTGTTTGGTTTCCTGGGTTTATGTGGAATACTTGCAAGGTCTAAGCTAAAGCTCTAGCCTGGAAATGTTACAGCTTCATAGTACCAAAGAGATAGCAATGTCCAGTGATGCTGTGAGTCCAGGGATACCACCCAATCCTATGGCTAAAATAGTGAGTTGGGTGCTCTTCAGCACTGTCTTTAACCTGCCAGAACAGGGGAGACTGAGATGAGCTCTTAGGCAGAAGCTCTTCCTGTGAGGGTGCTGAGGCGCTGGCACAGGGTGCCCAGAGAAGCTGTGGCTGCCCCATCCCTGGCAGTGTTCAAGGCCAGGTTGGACACAGGGGCTTGGAGCACCCTGCTCTAGTGGAAGGTGTCCCTGCCCGTGGTAGGGGATTGGAACTGGATGAGCTTTAAGGTCACTTTAAGCCAACCCAGTCTGGGATGCTATGAAAGTGCTGGGAAACCAACCAGACCCTCTGCACATGCCGGTGGGCCTGGTGCCAGTGTGAAGTATGAAATCAGTGCAACTCAACAGGGCCAGTTCAGCAGAGGGCCTGGGCTGCTGCGCGTTGTAGCCTTCTTGACATCACCTGGTTCTAAGCCAGCTCTGATGATGGATGTTTTTGCCTCTAGGTTTTGTTGGGGGGAACACCAAGCCCTCGTCATGTTTGCTGTCTGTACAGTGCTATTTCCAGACTAAAGAAAAAGAGTTAGATTACATTTTAGCAGAACAATACTGACAACAGCAAAGGTCGGGCAACTTTTAAGTAAGGTCACCCTATCGATTGCAGCAGTGAAAGGACAGACATCAAATGCTTTGCCATGAAAGGCTGAAAAGAAGTAAATTCGGCATGATATATTGAAACCCAAGCCTCTTTCATATGTTGCAGAGCCTCTGACATAGCAGGTTTACTGTTCAAGCTGAGATGGGTTGCCTTGCCAACATACATTCTGAGTTACCCAAGCAGATTTAATGTTTTTGCAGCAGTGACTTTTCCCTTATTTTTTGGGAAGGAATGGACACTTTTCCTTTTCTTTGCATAAAATTGTTGCAGAAGGTTTCAAACCTACCGAGGAAATGACCTTAATCCATTTAGTTCCAGCCATGAGTATGAAAACTCTCATCTGTTTCTTGCTTTCTCTGAGCATTGTCTCGCTCGCATTGAGCAGAGTGACCCAGTCACAGCTTGATGGAAAAGTGCATTCTGTTTGGTGTTGGTTTGTTGTGGTTTATTTAACCCACTCCAGTGGCAGCTATGTTTTGTGCAGGGGGGTTGATGTGACTGACAGGGGTTTGAGTTTCTAAGCTCCAGGGTCTCAAAAATGCATGAAAAGAGAATGACACATGCAGAAAAACATTAATCTTTGGAAAACAAGCACCAAAACGTAACAATTCTGTAGAAGCCTGACAGAGCTGCATTCATTCCCTCCTCCCCCTCCTCCTTCTTCCTCTTTTTAATAAGTCAGTGTTTCTGGGCCACCTACAGGCACATTTATGGCTTCGGCAGCAGGGAATCAGGATGCACAATAAGCCAAAGTCACAGTCATCGTGCATTAGGGTGGGTCTATCTGCGTCTCATAGAATCATGGAATGTTTTGTGTTGAAGGGACCTTAAAGCTCATCCTTTTCCAAGCCCCTTATCCTGTTGCTACAGGCCCTGATGAAGGTACCCCTCTCAAGGTTACAGCCCCATCACTGCCAGCTTGTGAGGATCTGCTCCCATCAGCTCTGTGGGTCTCAGTTCAATGGGCACACAACACTTGAAGATCCTCATTATTTATGGCTTGTGTTGCAGGAGTCCAGGAGAGTGAAGCCATTGAGCTGGGCAGTGCAAACACAGCTGGAGGGCAATGCCTGATGCATGGAGTGCATGTCTCAGCCCTGCTGAAGGTGGATAAGGTGGGGGAGCCCAGCTGATCCCAGCATTGGTGTTCATGGTCCCAGTCCCATAGACTGGGACTATGGCATCCCCTGGGCTGTCCCCAACAGGCTCTGCTTTGGTATAGGTATGTGGGATGCTGTCTCCAAAGAGCAGGTATGAGAAGGAAGGAAAGTCGGATCTCTGTCTTCTGACCAGGGAGCTGGCATCTCCCTTCCTCCAGTGCCCTATTGCAAACTGGCTGTCACTCCATGTCCTGAGCAATGACCAGGGACACAGTGGATTTGCCCAGCTCAAGACTGTCTGTGACAGCGGTATCAACCCCCTCTGGGGGTCATTGTAATCATTTTTGCTTCCTTTCCTCAAGGTCTGGTAATAGATCTGAGACCACACCACCTGGATGCAGAACATGGCCTCACAGAGCAGCCTGTGAGCCCTCTGCAGCACGGCCATGCTCCTTCCTGCCTCTCCTTTTCTCCATGGCCTCACTCTGAAAGCAATGCAGGATGAAACGTATGGGAATTCAGTGCTGCATGGAGGATGCTGAGCCCTTGAGGATGTGGTCCAGAGCTTTTGTCTCAACCCAGTTAACAGTTCCAATGGCTGGCTTGGGTTTCAATGCTGCTTTGGTGGGAGGTGGATGGCAGCTCTGTAAAGGAGAGTGGTGATGGAGGGGGAGTTTTTCTTCCCACTTCCCATCCCACCTGGGCTGGTGAATGAGGTGGCGATGGCTGGGGGGCTCAGAGGGGTGAGGGAGGCAGTCAGTTGGAAACGCTGATTCTCAAGCCTCTGAGAGCCACCAGCCACTGCTTCCCCTTGGTTCAGCTCCGTCAGTTCATCATAGGCCGGAGGTGGCTGCTTTAATGGAGGAGGATCTGTGCCTTTGCTTTGCAGTGAATCAATACAAAGCTGGGGTGTGCTGGATTCCCCCTTTCAGGAGAGAACAGCCCTCATTGTGAGTCTGGAGAATAAAGCAGCAGAAAGAAAGAGAGGGAAACTCTTCCCCATGCACGCTCCAGCTCTCTTGGCTGAGAGGCAGCTTTGCTTTGCATGTCCCTGCCACGTTTGAGTTTGGCATTGCTTGAGGCTTTTAAACCTTGCCTGAGAGTTGTGTCTGTGTGTGGAGGTGAGCGCGAGGCATTGTGTGCCCAACCTAATTATGGGATGAGAGCGATGGAGCCAAGGAGATCCCTAGGAAAGGGTGGAAAATGGGGGTTTAGTGGGAAAAGCACTGCTGGCTGCAATGAGCTGTTCTCTGGGCACCACCTTGTCTGTGCCTGTGATTCCCATCAGTCCTTTGCACCGGGTGATCTCCCGATCCTGTTTTCCAGCCTGTATTCCAGGTTGAGAACTCTGACAGGGGAACATCCTGAGCATCTGAGAGGGGTGACTATTTGGCTCAGCCCCTGGAAGCCTGGATGCAAACCTGAAGGGCATCCAGGCTGCTCCAGGGAGCAGGTTTCACGCTTGGAAAGCTTTGTGAGGTTTCCAGCCTCCGCTGCTTCCAGTCAGGTTGGAATCCACAAGTGAAGAGGCCCATGAAAATGGTTAATAAAGAACAAAAACCAGACCCCAGACAGGTCCAGGTCTGCGTCTCCTCTGAAGTTGTGTGCTGGCAGAAGTCTCACACTGTGCTAAGGGGATTTGCTCTTGTAGAGCTGAATCCCATTCCTCAAACTGGATTCCACCCTGGCTGCTGTTTTTATAAGGGTTAAGAGCATCTCCAGGAATAAACTTCCACTGTCCATCAGCATCATGGGTTATACTGCTTTAGGTGGCTGGAAAGTCTTGTCCAGGTAGTTCAGTGGAAGTAAATGGGATTTACTTGCACGGGTGTGTGAGTGCTTCTGTACACGTAGCCTTCTTCCCATGGTTTGCCATTGCTCTTAATGGTGACCTCTTTTATGCAGTGAGAAAGTCCCAGACACTGTTTGGCCTGGATTTCTTCATATGAGGCTTCTTGCTTGCTTGCTTGCTCCCTGCTCTGCACGACCAGCAGCTTGTCGCCTGCCGTGTGTGTTGGACCTGGGAAGTGTCTGGGGGAAAGGAAGGCTGTTTCCCATTTGAGCTGTCTGCATTGAATGCAAGGAAAGCATATGCACGCAAGGATGCCTTTGGAGATGGTTTAGCCCCAAAGGTGCATTGTTGTCACGCAGAATATAAAAGGAAACAAATGCTTAGGATTGAGTCGAGTTTTGGTGATGATTTAGCACTGGCTGGGAAGCAGCTCTGGCTTGACGGGGTTTTCTCTTTGGCCGTGCATCTTCTGATCTGCGTCCATGTGTTGAATGTTATTCCAGCACATAATGGGAGGTCCCTTATGTCAATGGCTCATCATCTCTGTCAAGGGATGCCCACTTCTAAGTTACAGCTGGTGCTCCTGTTCTTGTGGCTGACAAGCCATATGGAGCCAGTCCTGGGGATGGAGAACATGGCAACATCCAGCACCAGAAATACTGCCTGGGCTCTCACCTTTCCCCCTTCCAGCGATGGCTGAAGTTACACATTGGAGGCAGACAGCACAGGAGATGGGTTCAAAACAAGGCTCTGAGGTAACCCGTCCTCCCAGGCCTTGTAGGAGAAGGTGGCTGGAGACAACTGGTGGGGGCAGAGCAAAGGTGCTGACTGTTTCCAGGAGCTGTGCTTCACAGGTAAGGAGGGTTTTTTGCCCTTTGCTTCTCTATGATGTAAGTTAAGGCTCCATCTTAACCAGAAACAGGTTCAGTTCTGGTTTTGAGTCAGCTGAGGTCTTGTTCAAGCTTTTTCATAGTGCACAACCTCTCTGTTTGGTTGCTCTTGTTCAGTTGCCAGGGGTGAAGATGAGAGTTGGTTTGGGAGAACCAAGCAGCCCACATTGGTGCAAAGTGCAAAATCACTTCATTTTCAGCTGTAGCATCTGCTTGGTAAGCAGCCCTGTATTTGTGCATAGATGAAACTTCCCTGAGGTGCTTTGCTCGACTGATTTGACTGTGCTCTTCCTCTGCCTTATGTGCTCTTCTTCACTCCTCCTGCAGACCCTGGGCTTAGTTGTGCCCTGCATTTCCATCAGTCCCAGGGGCCTTATCTCTGCCTTGCAGCCAGGAGCAGGACACTGCCCTATCTCTGGTGCTGCAGCCACAGCTCTGCAGGATCTGGCACCTGAAATCCCAACAGCAGGGCTGGAAGTGAGCACCAAGTTCTCTACTTGTCCATTCCCTTCTCATTGCAGATCCCTGCCTGTTGAGAGTCGTTTCTCTGGGCCCCTTCACAACCATGTGCAAGTGCTGATGCTTTGTAAAAGCTGTTCTGTAGCTGTACCACCGCAGGAGCAAGAGCAGTGTGTGCTTCCAGCCAGCTCCCTCCCTTATGCACTGACAGTCTTGCTGCCTGCGGCGCTCCCATGACGAGGTGACGTTCATAGGAAGTAGTATCTCCTGTTAGGTTAGCTGATAGATTTGGGAAAGACCAGACAGGCCATCCTTCAGGCTAAAAGCATATCTGCTGTTCCCCAGGTAATTCAGTGCTGGCTTTTCCAGTGGTATCAGTGTATCACGTAGAGCCAGATGATAAAAGACATGCATCGTGGTCCCCTTGCTATCAAACACTGTGACATGTTGCAAGAGTTACGTGCCTGTTATTGGCAGCAGCCTGGGATCTGGTAGAGTCCAAATCTGATGTGCCTCTGCCTGAAAGCCCATGGGAGATGATCTCTGCTCAAATAGGGGCTTCCCATCCCTACTCCATTAATCAGTTGCTTACAAAGATGTGGGGGACTCTTCTCCTGGTAGAAAGTGTCCCTGGAAGTGCATTCCCCAGGCAATTCCCCCTCCAATCCCCATCTGACAGACTGAAACTCCTGAGATAATACCACAGCTATCTGAAGTCTCTTCTGTTCTATGGTGCAGTGCACTTACTTCCCCCTCTTCCCCCTCCCCTGCAACAGCAGCCTGGTGTTTCTGTGCAAAGTCTAATATGTGTTAGTAATATATCATGGGGTAAAATGATAGGTTTTTCTCTAGTGCCAGGCATTTGGCAGCATCTGGTTAGCTCAAGGAGTACCCAGCATGGAGAAATCAGCTTTAAAAACTTCGTGATTTCTTTGTTTTCAACTGCTTCTATTAATTTATGTATTTATTGTGTGCTTCCACTTCCTGGGGCAGTTCCCCAGCTGGCTGTGGAAGAGGGATTGTCAGTGAGAGTCCAGCCCAGAGGATGCTGGAAAGACGAGAAAGTAGTGGAAATGCTCTGAATTCAGTTTTATACCTCATTTACTATGCCTTTAAAAGCTGATTCTTCAGCTAAAATGGGTTTCCTTTTACTCTCTTGGCAAAGGAAACATTTTGCACAGGGCTTTTGTCAGAGCATCTGTTTATGTGAAAACTGGGGGGTTTTTAAGCTATGCTTTGCAAGTGTGTGATATAGCAGTGCTTATATAGGAATTCCTTGCTCCTCCTTACGGTAGGTGCCCTTCTCAGTTGTGCATGCTTTTGCCTGTTTGGATTGGAGTTTTCCAGCCGAGGTTTTTGCCTTGGACTGTGTTCTTCTGGACAAACACCAGCTCAGAGTGAAACAATCACTGCTGAGAATGAGGCTGTGGAAACTCAAGTAATTTGGTCCATGTTGAAGTAAACCTGGCTCTCTCTTGCGGGAAAGGCGAAGGGAAAAGAATAAAAAGAAGGCGTATTAAAGCTTTTCAGTTAATTCCATGAATCTGCCTATGCAGGAACCTTGCTTTTTCTTACCAAGGGGACTTGCAGCTTAGGAAGGAAAGGATGGTTCCTCTGTCCCCCCTTTCCCATCAG